CCACACAACTAAATGGTCCGATGTTGGGGAATGCGGTAGATTGGCTCTCAAACGTTACAAAAGGCAAGAGATCTTTTACCTTCCTCCACATGCAGTCTACGGGCAGGAAAGTTACCGGTGGCCAACCAAAAATTTGCCGACGCTTGCGGGAAATGTGCGTTAGTTGCAATACCACTGACATCGTGACTCCTTTCTCTTTCACCCTTAGTATGCAAGTTCGCTAACTCCAAGGCGATGCGTTGGGGCAGTTTGGGCAACAGTGATGGGACGGCTGAACCATGAAACTTGCTGGATGCAATGGCATTTCACACCGAACTGCAGGATTTGAGGGGACAACTAACCTTGAAGCGTCCGGAATACGCTTCGATGTTGAGTGAAACTTTATCAGAACCTCCCCAAAGTTATTTTTGAGGTAAGGTCGACCACAGACTGCCTCGCATCTGCACCACCCGTATTTTGTGTTGGCTTGAACAAATTGCCGCAGGTGGATGAGCGGCTGTTGGAAGATTGAGCAGAGAGAGATGGGCAATCGGTTACTTGAAAAAGCGATAGTCACGGTCAAAAGCCACCGGTGTATTTTGGAAATCCCAAAACCATCTTTTCTGAACATGACATGTCTTTGACCTCAGTGGTTCACCCTTCAAGATGCCACAGACTGTCCCGATGCAGCCGTTCTGTTGTGTCCTTGCGCCAGCTGTCTTCAGACCACCCATTTGGTGGCACTTTAGGATATTGCTCACAGTAGACCATTGTGATCATTGTGAGCATGAAATTCACAATCGAGTTTGAGTTCTTGAGCTTGAGCTCAATGAACTCCGATTCTGAGTTCTCCTCTGGTCTTTTTCACCCTTAGTATGCGTTGGGGCAGTTTGGGCAACAGTGATGGGACGGCTGAACCATGAAACTTGCTGGATGCAATGGCATTTCACACCGAACTGCAGGATTTGAGGGGACAACTAACCTTGAAGCGTCCGGAATACGCTTCGATGTTGAGTGAAACTTTATCAGAACCTCCCCAAAGTTATTTTTGAGGTAAGGTCGACCACAGACTGCCCCGCATCTGCACCACCCGTATTTTGTGTTGGCTTGAACAAATTGCCGCAGGTGGATGAGCGGCTGTTGGAAGATTGAGCAGAGAGAGATGGGCAATCGGTTACTTGAAAAAGCGATAGTCACGGTCAAAAGCCACCGGTGTATTTTGGAAATCCCAAAACCATCTTTTCTGAACATGACATGTCTTTGACCTCAGTGGTTCACCCTTCAAGATGCCACAGACTGTCCCGATGCAGCCGTTCTGTTGTGTCCTTGCGCCAGCTGTCTTCAGACCACCCATTTGGTGGCACTTTAGGATATTGCTCACAGTAGAACATTGTGATCATTCCCTAAGGATCCATGTATGGAATATTTACCTACATTGGGATTATTTTAAATTACTTTAGGGATCAATGTAGGTAAATATTCCATACATGGATCCTCCGGGATTGTGGGCATGAAATTCACAATCGAGTTTGAGTTCTTGAGCTTGAACTCAATGAACTCCGATTCTGAGTTCTCCTCTGGTCCTTTTCGTGTGGTTCTGAACCTAATTTTGTTCTCCGCAAGATCTTGAAAGAACAAGAGGTTCAGTTGCCACCCTTCAAGATGCCACAGACTGTCCCGATGCAGCCGTTCTGTTGTGTCCTTGCGCCAGCTGTCTTCAGACCACCCATTTGGTGGCACTTTAGGATATTGCTCACAGTAGACCATTGTGATCATTGTGAGCATGAAATTCACAATCGAGTTTGAGTTCTTGAGCTTGAGCTCAATGAACTCCGATTCTGAGTTCTCCTCTGGTCTTTTTCGTGCGGTTCTGAACCTAATTTCGTTCTCCGCAAGATCTTGAGAGAACAAGAGGTTCAGTTGCCACCCTTCAAGATGCCACTGACTGTCAAGAACCGTGAATCATAAACTAAAACCGAGGGCTTCGGAAACTCAAAACCTGAATCGGAAAAGATGGGAGAAACGGAAAACGTTTTTTGTCGGACAGGTGCTACAGAAACCAAATACCTTTCCTGGAGGTTCCCATTGTTGACTTGGACAGCAAACCTCTGAATCTGAAACCCGGTTATTGACAAGTTTGCTGTAACTCCATGGTTCGTCTGTTAGTTTGAACCTTCTCCCAGTTTGAGATATTTCTGAACCAAAATCCCTTTCATGGCATCAGTCCTTGAATCTTAGGGTGGTGATGGATGATCACATCATCCTCTCGACACTGCCGTGTTCGTTTCTGGTGGCTCACCGGCAGAAACCCCGGCCGGTTCGGCTGGAGCTTTTCGTGAAGCCCTGGGGCATGGCCTTCAAAACTCGGGCGTTTTTTCGAGTCGCTGACGCCTCCCGACCTTGTTGGTTCGGAGGATGCTTGAAAACAGGAGAAAGACTGCATGAAGCGACTCTGCGCTTGCAGCCAAGAGAAACTCTTGCTGTCCAAAAAATCAAGGCAGAGCCATGCAGTCATGCGGTTGATTTGGAGAGGTATGAGACGAGACCAGCAGTCGCCTTGCGTTGGACAGACACGCACTGATTGTAGTTGAGATCGCGTCGCCTATGAAACCGGTGGTTAACGGTTTCGTGAAGCCCTGGGGCATGGCCTTCAAAACTCGGGCGTTTTTTCGAGTCGCTGACGCCTCCCGACCTTGTTGGTTCGGAGGATGCTTGAAAACAGGAGAAAGACTGCATGAAGCGACTCTGCGCTTGCAGCCAAGAAAAACTTCGTTGTCCAAAAGTTGAGATGGAATCATATTGTTCAAGCGGTTGATTTGGAGAGGTATGAGCGGAGAGCGCCATTTCCGCTTGCATTGGGCAGACACGCACAGAATGCAATAATAAAAGCATCCGAAGATTTTGTTTGAAACGTGAGTCATGCAGTCATGTAGCTGATTTAGACAGGTATGAGACGAGACCAGCATTTCCCTTTGCATTGGTCAGACAGGCGCAGAATACAGTATTGATCGTTCCGCCTTGTGGTTGATGGTCTAGTTTTGAAAAATAGCAGCCGGGAATTTTGTTTGAAACGGATGGTTGTAGGAGAGCCACAAGTGCCAAATCCAACGGTTTTGTGACGCCTTGGAGCACGGCCTTCAAAATCCTGACGTTTTTGCAAGTCACTGAAGCCTCCCGACGGTCGAATCGGCCCGAGGCTTGAAAACAGAAGAAAGAATGCATAAAGCGATTCTGCGCTTGCAGCCAAGAGAAACTTTTCTTGTCCGAAAATCTCAGATGGAGTCATGCAGTCAAGCAATTGAGTCGGAGAGGTATGAGACGAGACCAGAAGTCCCCCTGCCTTTGTTGAGTTTTGATGCAGAGTTTGCTGCTATTGTTTTGACAGGTGTGATTGTAGGAGCGCCATAAGTGCTGCTAGATCCACCGGTTTCGTAAAGCCTTGGGGCACGGCCTGCAGAGTTTTTTCAAGTGCTTCAAATCGGCCTGGTCTTTATCGTGTTGGTGCAGAGGATGCTTGAAAACAGAAGAAAGAATGCGTAAAGCGACTCTGCGCTTGCAGCCAAGAAGAACTTCTGTTGTGCTCCAAGCTGTTTGCATTTCATTTTGCTCCTCTACCTTCAATCCGATCTTTCAACAACTTTGAGGGCTGCGCCTTAAGAGCTGCAGCTGGTGGGCGCGCTGTGGCCGTGCCATATTTTGCTCCGCCACGCTAGCAAGCAGCACATCACTCGCAGGATGCGCATCTATCAGATTCTCAGATCTGTCAGATCTATCAGAGTCAGATGCAGTCAGCCATCTGTTCTGGGCCAGATCTCGGGTGCGACTTGGAATGGGTTGAGTGGAGCACGCCACAGAAGGCATGTTTCAGTGGGCTTGGCTGCGAAATGTCGGTTTGGGTGCTGGAAATCACGGCAGTTATGTGCCATTGCTTGCCACTCAGGCTGAGATGTCATGCGCATGATTATCGGTGTGCTGGAGTGTCCTCAACAATGGTTGTTCGTTGGTCCCCTTTTCAGAAGGTCCAACCACTTGAAGGGCACCATGCAAAGGGAGCCTTGACTGGTCAACCGAAGCACAGCATAACGAACTGACAGATATGGGCTGATGGATTGAACAATTTCATCATGGCTTTTTTTGGGCAACATCATCGGTCTGGTGTTTGACCGGCGCACTGCCGATGTCACGAATCATGAGGTGTTGGATGCAGAAAATGGTCCCCAGGCCATCAGCATCAGCATCAGCGGCATGTTATGACAGTATGACTAGGCAGCATCGCACTGCTCCAATTTCCCAGCTGGCATGACGAACGAGACCGCCTAACACTGCACGCACCACTGGCGCTGAGAAGGCCACATGAGTGCTGCTTAGTGCTTGCTTGATCCGATCTCGGAGCGTCAGCTCCACCGGCCACTGACCCTGCGGTGTCAGGCATTGGAGCACCGTTGTGGCAGCAGTTCTGGTGCCTACCTAAGAGGATGATCTTTGATGATGAATGCCATTGATGAGTGAGCTGAAACTTGATACGCCCGCAAAACCCCAACAAGAAGCTACCGGGGTTTCACTTTGAGTCTTTTTTGGTGCGCTAGGAAACTGGCATCCAGTGCGGGTGCCCAAACAAGGAACTGGCTGCAACTGATTCAGACCCATGATTTTTTACAACGTTTGCCAATTTTGAAGCGCATTCCCCGCAACCCCTTTGGCCATAATTCTGGATCCAGGCACTTGTTTCAAAGCTGGCTCCCGCAAAGATTTTGAACTCTTCAAACGGCCAGGGCTTTTAAAATGGTGCTAATCCACTCTCAGCTGAGCCGAGTCAAAGTCGATCGTGCTCAGATTGAACATGTACATCTTGAACAAAGTGCGACTCAGCCAGTGATCTTTACACATATTGATTAGATACAGCTTTGTTGCAAAAGTTTTAGATTGCCATAAGTCTCCACCCAGAATCGTGCGTGCCATGCATCGGCACAACTTTGCTTTTCAAAAAGTCGAAACGTGCGGCCTGTTTCAAAAACTTGCACCTTACGAGCTTAGTTCCGCTGGACTTTTGAATGGAGGGCAATTCTTTTTTTGCCAAAAAAGAAAAACAATGCCAATTTAATTTCGCACCCCTTTTGAATATCCCAGCCAGCTCCAAGCCCTAAGATAATCTACCAAGATGCCACTCTTGCACTGACCTTAAACTTTTTGACCAGAAAAGAGTGAACATGTACTGAAGCAGCATGGGCCCAGTGAGAAGAAAAAAGAATCCCGTGGCAATTGCTTCGCCAACTTTCCACTGTGCCAGTGGTACTCGTTCATTTGCCTTAACCCGCGCCATTTGAGGAAAAGCCGCCCTGCAGTGCATCTCTGCGCGAGGAAAACATACGCTGGTAGCTTCAGCATGTGCTGCACACCTTGATCTGATCTGACTACCTGGGGCCACCCCTGTCAAAAATCGCAGGTTTCATGCCCAAAATTGGATCGTATATGATATGGTGTGATATGATATGATATGCCATGATATTTTAGTATATTGTATTTATATTGTATTATATTATATCATGTAACGTTACATTACATTATACTACATTACTTACCTTACATTATATTATGTCATATCATTTTTTGTTCCCCAAACAGGTTTACCTGTATGGGGTTCTTACTCCTTTCAAAGGGTTGCATCCCTGGGCCGCATGATTTTGCCTCTGTCTCCGGGCTTGCATCCCACTCTGGGTGCCTTGGGCCCCATGAGTTTACACCTGTCTTCCACTTGTCTTTCACACTTGTCTGCCACTCCGGGTGCCTTGGGCCGCATGAGTTTACAGTTTACACTTGTCTCCCACACTCGTCTCCCACACTTGTCTTCCACACTTGTCTCCCACTCTGGGTGTCTTGGGCCGCATGAGTCCACACTTGTCTCCCACTTGTCTCCCACTTGTCTCCCACACTTGTTTCCCACACTTGTCTCGCACTCTGGGTGCCTTGGGCCGCATGAGTTTACACTTGTCTCCCACACTTGTCCCTCACACTTGTCTCCCACTCTGGGTGCCTTGGGCCGCATGAGTTTACACTTGTCTCCCACTTGTCTCCCACACTTGTCTCCCACTCTGGGTGCCTTGGGCCGCATGAGTTTACACTTGTCTCCTACACTTGTCTTCCACACTTGTCTCCCACTCTGGGTGTCTTGGGCCGCATGATTACACTTGTCTCCCACTTGTCTCCCACACTTGTCTCGCACTCTGGGTGCCTTGGGCCGCATGAGTCTACACTTGTCTTCCATTTGTCTCCCACACTTGTCTCCCACTCTGGGTGCCTTGGGCCGCATGAGTTTACACTTGTCTCCCACTTGTCTCTTGTCCCACTCTGGGTGCCTTGGGCCGCATGAGTTTACACTTGTCTCCCACACTTGTCTTCCACACTTGTCTCCCACTCTGGGTTTCTTGGGCCGCATGAGTTTACACTTGTCTCTCACACTTGTCTCCCACACTTGTCTTTCACTCTGGGTGCCTTGGGCCGCATGATTTTACACTTGTCTCCCACTTGTCTTCCACTTGTCTCCCACAGTTGTCTTTCACTCTGGGTGCCTTGGGCCGCATGAGTTTACACTTGTCTCCCACACTTGTCTCCCACACTTGTCTCCCACACTTGTCTCCCACTCTGGGTGCCTTGGGCCGCATGAGTTTGCACTTGTCTCCCACACTTGTCTCCCACTTGTCCCTCACACTTGTCTCCCACTCTGGGTGCCTTGGGCCGCATGAGTTTACACTTGTCTCCCACTTGTCTCCCACACTTGTCTCGCACTCTGGGTGCCTTGGGCCGCATGAGTTTACACTTGTCTTCCATTTGTCTCCCACACTTGTCTCCCACTCAAGGTGCCTTGGGCCGCATGAGTTTACACTTGTCTCCCACTTGTCTTCCGCACTTGTCTCCCACTCTGGGTGCCTTGGGCCGAATGATTTTACACTTGTCTCCCACTTGTCCCTCACACTTGGGTGCCTTGGGCCGCATGAGTTTACACTCGTCTTCCACTTGTCTCCCACACTTGTCTCCGACTCTGGGTGCCTTGGGCCGCATGTTACACTTGTCTCCCACTTGTCTCCCGCACTTGTCGCCCACTCTGGGTGCCTTGGGCCGCATGAGTTTACACTTGTCTCCTACACTTGTCTTCCACACTTGTCTCCCACTCTGGGTATCTTGGGCCGCATGAGTTTACACTTGTCTCCCACTTGTCTCCCACACTTGTTTCCCACACTTGTCTCGCACTCTGGGTGCCTTGGGCCGCATGAGTTTACACTTGTCTCCCACACTTGTCTTCCACACTTGTCTCCCACTCTGGGTGCCTTGGGCCGCATGAGTTACACTTGTCTCCCACACTTGTCTCCCACACTTGTCTCCCACTCTGGGTGCCTTGGGCCGCATGAGTTTACACTTGTCTTCCACTTGTCTTCCGCACTTGTCTCTCACTCTGGGTGCCTTGGGCCGCATCATTTTACACTTGTCTCCCGCTTGTCCCTCACACTCTGGTTTCCTTGGGCTGCATGAGTTTACACTTGTCTTCCACTTGTCTCCCACACTTGTCTTTCACTCTGGGTGTCTTGGGCCGCATGATTTTACACTTGTCTCCCACACTTGTCTCCCACTCTGGGTGCCTTGGGCCGCATGAGTTTGCACTTGTCTCCCACTTGATTCCCACTTGTCTCCCACACTTGTCTCCCACTCTGGTTGCCTTGGGCCGCATGAGTTTACACTTGTCTCCCACACTTGTCTCCCACTCTGGGTTCTTTGGGCTGCATGAGTCTACACTTGTCTCCCACACTTGTCTTCCACACTTATCTCCCACTCTGGGTGCCTTGGGCCGCATGATTTTACTCTTGTCTTCCACTTGTCTCCCACACTTGTCTTTCACTCTGGGTGCCTTGGGCCGCATGATTTTACACTTGTCTCCCACTTGTCTTTCACACTTGTCTCGCACTCTGGGTGCCTTGGGCCGCATGAGTTTACACTTGTCTTCCACTTGTCTCCCACACTTGTCTTTCACTCTGGGTGTCTTGGGCCACATGAGTTTACACTTGTCTCCCACTTGTCTCCCACTTGTTTCCCACTTGTCTCCCACACATGTCTCCCAGTCTGGGTGCCTTGGGCCGCATGAGTTTACACTTGTCTTCCACTTGTCTCCCACACTTGTCTCCCACTCCGGGTGTCTTGGGTTGTTTCCCACACGTGTCTCCCACTCTGGATGTCTGGGAGCGCATGAGTTTACACTTGTCTCCCACTTGTCTCCCACACTTGTCTCCCACACTTGTCTCCCACACTTGTCTCCCACACTTGTCTGCCACTCTGGGTTTCTTGGGCCGCATGAGTTTACACTTGAGTCTCCCCCTTGTCTCCCACACTTGTCTCCCACTCTGGGTGCCTTTGGCCGCATGAGTCTACACTTGTCTCCCACTTGTCTCCCACACTTGTCTCCCACTCTGGGTGCCTTGGGCCGCATGATTTTACACTTGTCTCTCACTTGTCCCTCACACTTGGGTGCCTTGGGCCGCATGAGTTTACACTTGTTTCCCACTTGTCTCCCACACTTGTCTCCCACTCTGGTTGCCTTGGGCCGCATGAGTTTACACTTGTCTCCCACTTGTCTCCCACACTTGTCTCTCACTCTGGGTGTCTTGGGCCGCATGATTTTACAATTGTCTCCCACTTGTCTCCCACACCTGTCTTCCACACTTATCTCCCACTCTGGGTGCCTTGGGCCGCATGATTTTACTCTTGTCTTCCACTTGTCTCCCACACTTGTCTTTCACTCTGGGTGCCTTGGGCCCCATGATTTTACACTTGTCTCCCACTTGTCTCCCACACGTATCTCCCACTCTGGATGTCTGGGTGCGCCTGAGTTTACACTTGTCTCCCACTTTTCTCCCACACTTGTCTCCCACACTTGTGTCCCACTCTTGTTTCCCACACTTGTCTCCCACTGTGGGTTCTTTGGGCTGAGTTTACACTTGTCTCCCACTTGTCTCCCACACTTGTCTCCCACCCTGGGTTCCTTGGTTCGCATGTACAATATAATTTAAAATTTCTACATCTGCTTGGGGTCAACGCTGGTATAATTTAATATTGTATTGTATTCTACTATATTGTATTGTATTATATTATTATTATTATATATATATAAGTATATATATATATAAGATCATGTTATTTTATAGAACATTATACTATATATTACATTGCATTATATTATATTACATTGTATTATGTTACATTATATTATATTAATGTATACACTATATCATATCATATTATATTACATTACATTGCATTATATTATATTATATTATATTATATAATATAATATAAAATAATATTATATTATATTATATCATATTATATTCTATTATATTCTATTATATTATATTCTACTATATTCTATTATATTGCATCTATACAATTACACATAGACTTTTTGAGCAACCAATTGTCCAGGCCTCCAAGAACAATAGCGGGGAGACCAAAAACGGTAAACATACACAACTGGTCACCAGGAATGTGTGTTCGTCCTCGTCCTTCGACATTCGTCCTTTGTCCTTCGTCCTTCCTCCTTAGTTTTCGTCCTTCCTCCTTCGTCGTTGTCGTCGTCGTCGTCGTTTGTTTTTTGTGTGTGTTGTTGCTTCTGCTGCTTCTGCTGCTTCTGCTGCTATTTTGTTTTGTTCCTTGTGAAGTTTTGTAAGCAGCTGGAACCGGTTCTTTGGACAGTGCGTCGCTGGTTGGTGTCTGTGGTGTCTTGGTACCGTACAGAGATAAAATTTGGAAAGCAGGGATTCAGTATTAGTTTCCGATGTTCCGAATTTTGTTCGAATTTTGGTGTTGTTTGTCGTATTTGGAAAGACAACCAATGTCCGGACATGTGACCCGTAGAATGGGATAGGCAAACATGAGCAAACAACAGTTTCTGGGCGAGGACTGCCAAAAACTGCTGGCCCTGATCGAAATGTATATATTTTGCCTATTCCCTATTTTATTTGTATGGGATTCTTGGTTGACTTGAACATTTATTTTTGTGCGTGACAACGTTTTCTTGATAGTTTTCCGTTTCGGGGTTTGAATGCTTGAATGAAGATATTGACTGAAGATATTTGCGGGAACCGTGTGGTGCAAAGTTTTCAAACGCTGCTTGCCATCGCAGTTTTTGAAGCGTCTTCAAAACAGCAACATGGCAAACACAATCAAACATATCATGTGGATTCATGTGGCGCATTCTTTAATTTCAGAAAGTCAGAAATTTCTTCTAAAACCACAGCTGCGCAGCCGTAAAACCACGTCGCTGCGCTCTGTGAGAAATCTCGGGGCGCTGCAACTTGGCTGCAGTGGACATGGAAAATCCACGAAAATCGTTGGGAAATCCCGAAGGAAATGAAGGTTTTTAGCTGGGAAAATCGCTGCAGAATGTCAA